CCTGATTACGACCTGGAAATATGTTGTTTGTAGTAGAAGTGCCATTAACGGTAGGAGGATCCGCCCAACACAACGCCCTTGATGAGTTTTTTTTTTTTTGTCTCTCCTATGGAATGTAACTCGTGTTTGTGTTGTACTGTATGAAAGTATGTGTGAAGTATCTTGGGATTTTTCTTGGGATTTTGATTGGAAAATTTTCTTGGGATTTTATCGGGTGGTTTTCTTGGGATTTTTTATAAGGGAAAGAATGGAAGTATAGATGATAGGTTATGTATTGTCTAATCTCTCTCTATCTGTCTCTCTCTTTCTATGTTTCTCAATACTTGTATATATATTTCTGTATCACTTTATCACTTTTTCTTTATCTCCCTCCACTTTTCTCTCTCTCTCTGATCCATTCACAATAATAAAATAAGAAAAATACGAAAGCTACGCCAGTTACACAAGAAGAAGAAACAAAACGAAAAAAACAAAAGAGCATCGCCAGACTACACCACAAAGTACTCCGCCATAGTATAGATGCCATGACCCCTGGAACTTATTGTTATTAGAATGTATTCCAACGCTTCAACAACTAAGCTCTGTGAACACATATGTCAAGTAGTTCCCAAAGAGTAAATAAATAAAAATGAAGGAAAATATATCTCCTTTTCCCTCATAGCATCAAGAGTACGAGGAGGCGACCCACTCCGAAAGCTGCCCTCCCTCCCGCCCTCCTGCTCACCCGCCCTCCTCCCTGCCCGTCCTCCCGCCATCCCGCCCACCCTCACGCCCCCACGCCCGCCCTAACAGGATTTTCGTCGCCTGAGGAAGCTGGAGTACATGATTTATTAGCGTTGGGTCCTCTCCGTTTTAGTCGGTCGGCCCCCTGGTGTGTGGTAGGGGTCTGCTGGTGTGCTAGGAGCCTCGTGGTTTGCTAGGAGGTATCGTTGGTGTGCTAGGAGGTATTGTTAGCGTGCTAGGGAGCCTCGTGGTGTGCTAGGAGGTATTGGTAGTGTGCTAGGGAGCCTCATGGTGTGCTAGGAGGTATTGTTGGTGTGCTAGGAGCCTCGTAGTGTGCTAGGAGGTATTGTTGGTGTGCTAGGGAACCTTGTGGTGTGCTAGGAGTATCGTTGGTGTGCTAGGGAGCCTCGTGGTGTGCTAGGGGCCTCATAGTGTGCTGGGAGGCCTCGTGGTGTGCTAGGAGGTATTGGTGTGCTAGGGAGCCTCATGGTGTGCTAGGAGCCTCGTGGTTTGCTAGGAGGTATCGTTGGTGTGCTAGGAGGTATTGTTAGCGTGCTAGGGAGCCTCGTGGTGTGCTAGGAGGTATTGGTAGTGTGCTAGGAGCCTCATGGTGTGCTAGGAGGTATTGTTGGTGTGCTAGGAGCCTCGTAGTGTGCTAGGAGGTATTGTTGGTGTGCTAGGGAACCTTGTGGTGTGCTAGGAGGTATCGTTGGTGTGCTAGGGAGCCTCATGGTGTGCTAGGGAGCCTCATAGTGTGCTAGGATCCTCATGGTGTGCTAGGGAGCCTCGTAGTGTGCTAGGATCCTCATGGTGTGCTAGGGAGCCTCGTAGTGTGCTGGGAGCCTCGTAGTGTGCTAGGGAGCCTCATGGTGTGCTAGGGCACTCATAGTGTGCTTGGGAGCCTCATGGTGTGCTAGGGAGTCTCATAGTGTGCTAGGGAGCCTCATGGTGTGCTAGGGAGCCTCATGGTGTGCTAGGGAGTCTCATGGTGTGCTAGGAGACTCCCTTAACTGAGCAGGAAAAAACTGGGTTCCCCACTTTACGCAGCTGTGTGTGTGTGTTTAGGGAACGTATGCCACGAACCTCCTCCTCCTCCTCCTCCTCCTCCTCCTCCTCCTCCTCTTCCTCTTCCTTCTCTCTCCTCCTCCTCCTCTTCCTCCTCCCTCTCTTCCTCTTCCCTCTTCCCCCTTCCCCTCCTTTCCCCCTCCCCACCAGTGATATCCCCAACCACAGCGTAACGATAATTTATTAGTCGTCTTATCTGATTAATAAACACTAGCCAGGTAACCGTTCACAGGTGAGAGAGAGAGAGAGAGAGAGAGAGAGAGAGAGAGAGAGAGAAGAGAGAGAGAGAGAGAGAGAGAGAGAGAGAGAGAGAGGGGGTCTTGGTTTAACTAGATGAAGGAAGATGGGGATAATTAATCATCTACTCCCCTCTACACCGTTATAGGGGGCAGGTAGAGAAGGTGGGGGGGGGGAGGGAGGAGGGGGCCAAGGGGGTGGAGGGAGGGGTGAAGGGGGAGGGTGGGTCGAGGATGGATGGAGGTGGAGAAGAGAGAGGAAGCAGAGAGGGAGGTAGAGAGGGAAATGGAAGAGAGAGAGAGAGAGAGAGAGAGAGAGGAAGCGGGGGTCAGAGTTGGATGGGGTGTTTATAGCGGTAGTGAAGATGATGGTAACATTTAAGTAAGAATAATTAATGAATGTAGCGTCTTATTGTGTTTTTTTAGGAAGGGTTAGATTAAGTTTACGCATTTTAACCTAACCTATCTAACCTAACCTAACCTAACCTAACCTAACCTAACCTAACCTAACCTAACCTAACCTAACCTTAAATAGTCACTGGAATTTGTGTTAATGACATGACAAGCTATCCCCAAAACTATCCTTTAAGTAACAAAACAGCAAAACTATTCCACAAAACCTCACAAAACTATCCTATAAAACTTTCACAAAACTATCACAAAAACTATCCCACAAAACTATCATAAAAACTATCCCACAAAACTATCACAAAACTATCCACAAAACGAATAAAAAGGCCAATGCATCACACACCTTCCAGCCACAGAGAGCTACTGGGTCCTGTGTGTTGCCGGGATGAACTGGTTAGGTTAGGTTAGGTTAGGGTAGGTTAGGTGGGATTAGGTAGGTTAGTGTTATTGGGTTAGGTTGGGTTAGGTTGGTAAGGATTGGGGTAGAGTTAGGTAAGTAGGGTTAGGTAGTTAGGAGTTAGAGTTAGGGTTAGTCAGGCAGTGGAGGAACAGATAGAAGATAACAACCATGAAGAACTCCGGAACTGTCAGCTCTAACTCACGAGAGGGAAGGGAGGAAGAGGGAGAGAGAGAGAGAGGATGCTGAGGGGAGATAGAGGGGAGGGATGGTGAGGGGAGGCAGGGGAGAGAGAGAGGGAGGGAGGAAAAGGGGGAAGGAAAAACTACGAGAGAATTGAGTAAAGGGAAGGGAAGGGAGAAAATGGAATAAGAAGGAAGGAAGGAGAAATGAGATACAGGGCGATTAGAAGGAAAGTGTAGCAAGGAGTGGAGGGAGGGAAGGAGAGATGAGAGATACAGGAGAGAAGGAGGGGGGGAGGGGAGGAGGGTAGATGCAGCAGAGGCGTGGAGGGGCCTGAGGCGAGGAAGGGGTTAGACGATTCTGTTTTACCAACGAGATTAACACAGCGTGGGAAGCTCTCTCTCTACTCTCTCACTCTCTCAAAATTACAATATCTCAATCAGGATTTTGTGACTATGATCCGCCATTACAAAACCTTTTAGAAGAATCGTCTGATCTCACCTGTGTTTACCTCCCAGCTAAATCTAATTAGTAAGATAAGTACTAATTGGCAGTGAATGAATAAGCAATTAGCTACAGGTCATAGGAATGTGTCTTACTGTGACTAATTAATATCTTAGGTCAATTACTTTTTTTCAGAGACTTATTGATATTTAGAGGAATACGACAAGTTTCAATAATATTTTACGGTGATTTATTAAATGTCAGTGAGATAATAAAATGATGTTGGTGTTGAATAAATAAGATAAAGGTGTGAATTTTATATGTTTTTGGTTGGTTGATTTTGTGGAGTCGTTTGGTAGTGAGGAAAATGGCGAGTGTTTCCTAAATAACGAAAACAGATGATGAACGTTTCCTAAATAACGAAAACAGATGATGAACGTTTCCTAAATAACGAAAACAGATGATGAACGTTTCCTAAATAACGAAAACAGATGATGAACGCTTCCTAAATAACGAAAACAGATGATGAACGTTTCCTAAATAACAAAACAGATGACGAACGTTTCCTAAATAACAAAAACAACGACAAAAACAAAAACAAATCACCTGAGAATAATAATATATCTGTTTCCACTTAAATTGTTAATACGTAAACAAGAATTCGGTTATTAATCCCGTGACCTTAAATAACTAACCACCAAAGGTAAGATGATCAGTAGGCTAATTGTGTCTAGTAATTAGTGTGAGACGCAGCGTAACGGCAGGTGAGAGAGGGAGAGGGACCACACACCTGTTAACAGAGAGGTTGCCAACAGTAAGGCGTACAACGGTTAGTCCTGTTATTGTGAGGGATAGAGGGGTGGGAGGTCTCTCTCTCTCTCTCTCTCTCTCTCTCTCTCTCTCTCTCTTCTCTCTCTCTGATTTGAAAGGGAGGTAAGGGGAGAGGGGTTGTTGGGACCAGGGGGAGGTGAGCTAAGGGGTAAACTAAGGGAAAAACTAAGGGGTGAGCTAATAGGTAAATAAAGGGGTAGGGGAACTAAAGGGGTGAACCGAAGGATAAATTAAGGGGGTGAATTAAGGGGGTGAATTAAGGGGGTGAGTGGCCAACCTTTTTTTATCACCTGTCACCTGCTTAATTACCAGTTTAATTAACTCCCCTCTCACCTGGGCATCTCTACCTGAGTCTCCCGTATGTCCTACCGTGTTCTTTGTTCAGCCGTGTCCTATGTTCAGCCGTGTCCTATGTTCAGCCGTGTCCTTTGTTCAGCCGTGTCCTTTGTTCAGCCGTGTCCTATGTTCAGCCGTGTCCTATGTTCAGCCGTTGTTCAGCCGTGTCCTATGTTCAGCCGTGTCCTTTGTTCATGTCGTTCTCAGCCGGTCTGTCCTTGTTCAGCGTGTCTATGTTCAGCCGTGTCTTGTTCAGCCGTGTCTATGTTTGTTTGTTTTTGTCGTGTCCTTGTTAGCGTGTTTGTTCCCGTTCAGCCGTGTCCTATGTTCAGCCGTGTCCTTTGTTCAGCCGTGTCCTATGTTCAGCCGTGTCTATGTTCAGCCGTGTCCTATGTTCAGCCGTGTCCTATGTTCAGCCGTGTCCTATGTTCAGCCGTGTCCTATGTTCAGCCGTGTCCTATGTTCAGCCGTGTCCTATGTTCAGCCTGTCCTTTGTTCAGCCGTGTCCTTTGTTCAGCCGTGTCCTATTGTTCAGCCGTGTCCTATGTTCAGCCGTGTCCTTTGTTCAGCCGTGTCCTATGTTCAGCCGTGTCCTATGTTCAGCCGTGTCCTATGTTCAGCCGTGTCCTATGTTCAGCCGTGTCCTATGTTCAGCCGTGTCCTATGTTCAGCCGTGTCCTATGTTCAGCTGTCCTATGTTCAGCCGTGTCCTATGTTCAGCCGTGTCCTATGTTCAGCCGTGTCCTATGTTCAGCCGTGTCTATGTTCGCCGTGTCTATGTTCAGCCGTGTCCTATGTTCAGCCGTGTCCTATGTTCAGCCGTGTCCTATGTTCAGCCGTGTCCTATGTTCAGCCGTGTCCTATGTTCAGCCGTGTCCTATGTTCAGCCGTGTCCTATGTTCCTTCGTGTCTTGTTCAGCCGTGTCCTTGTTCAGCCGTGTCCTTGTTCAGCCGTGTCTATGTTCAGCCGTGTCCTATGTTCAGCCGTGTCTATGTTCAGCCGTGTCCTATGTTCAGCCGTGTCCTATGTTCAGCCGTGTCCTTTGTTCAGCCGTGTCCTATGTTCAGCCGTGTCTATGTTCAGCCGTGTTCTTTGTCTATGTTCAGCCGTGTCCTATGTTCAGCCGTGTCCTATGTTCAGCCGTGTGTCTATGTTCAGCCGTGTCCTATGTTCAGCCGTGTCTATGTTCAGCCGTGTCTATGTTCAGCCGTGTCCTATGCAGCCGTGTCCTATGTTCAGCCGTGTCTTTTGTTCAGCCGTGTCTATGTTCAGCCGTGTCCTATGTTCAGCCGTGTCCTATGTTCAGCCGTGTCCTATGTTCAGCCGTGTCCTTTGTTCAGCCGTGTCCTTTGTTCAGCCGTGTCCTATGTTCAGCCGTGTCTATGTTCAGCCGTGTCCTTTGTTCAGCCGTGTCTATGTTCAGCCGTGTCCTATGTTCAGCCGTGTCCTATGTTCAGCCGTGTCCTATGTTCAGCCGTGTCCTATGTTCAGCCGTGTCCTATGTTCAGCCGTGTCCTATGTTCAGCCGTGTCCTTTGTTCAGCCGTGTCCTATGTTCAGCCGTGTCCTTTGTTCAGCCGTGTCCTTTGTTCAGCCGTGTTATGTTCAGCTGTCCTGTTCAGCCGTGTCCTATGTTCAGCCGTGTCCTATGTTCAGCCGTGTTCTTTGTTCGCCGTGTCTTGTTCCAGCCGTGTTCTTGTTCAGCCGTGTCCTATGTTCAGCCGTGTCCTGTGCATGTCCAACCGTGTCCTCTTATTGTTGCAGGAAGTTGTTGAAATTGAAATATAGAGGAAGGCGTTGATGAAGGTTATGCAATCAACTGAGTGAGGCAGATGTTGCAAGATGGAGTTGTAGGTCGAGTATTGCAATGAGGTTTTACAGGTCAATGTAGGCCAGGTGTTGTAGACTAAGTATTGCAATGAGATGGTGCAAGGTAGGTGTTTTAAATAAGGTGTTGCAAGCCCATTGTTGCAGTAAAGGTATTGTAGGAAGTGTTGCCAGGTTAAGTTATGTCACAACACAGACACGATAGCAACAATACCCCCCCCGCGCTGTGGTCTTCGGTGATCGTCCACTCTCGTCAAAGCTGAGAAGGAGAATCATAAAAAAAGAAGATCTACACAACATTCGATCGGATCAGATGCTTTAAATGGCGTTTATTGCTTATTTATGAGGGTTTAGATCCTGCTGTAAACAGGTGAGCATCGCTATACGGCAAGGTCGACCCGCTAACGAGACTCTCTGGGGGATAACACTGCTTGAGGTCTTCGAGTTCGTATGTTAATAAGTACTGGCTTATTTTGTCACCTGTTTGTACACTCAGGGGTCCAAATGATAAAGAAATTCCTCTCATTTACATACTTACAACATTTACATAATATCAAAGTTCAAATGTTATTGTACAATCCCTCGTTTTGCCTTCTTGTATAGATTCAGTGACTTGATGCTCACTTGTTTATGTTGTGTCGTTGATTCTATTATTTGAACATTTGTATTCAGTTTTTCTTATCTACAATGACTTTTATTTATGTTTAGTTTCATAGCTTCGATGTCCAGATTGTTTTACTCTTATGTAGGTATTTATTTATGTATCTTGGATGATATATTTTAGTCGATAGTCATTTGTTTACTGTCTATCAAGGACCTTATACTACTACTGTTATTTGGGGGTTCATTTATAGCGTTAGAATCCCTATCCGCATTCAGTTTCTCATACGAAGGCAATATATTCTTCCTCTCTACTTTTTTTTCCTCTTTTCTCTTCCTCTTCTTCCCCTTCTTCCTCTTACTCTTCCTCTTCCTCTTGTTCCTCTTACTCGCGTCGTTCAAATGCTAATGTAATCTCTCTCTTATCTTGGTGGTTAAGCTACAGCGACATACTGAAACAAAGATCCCGAGTTTTAATGATAATTCCGGTGCGAGCGAACGACAGCGACAGTGTGAGCAAACAGTAGTACTGGGCGTGGGTTGTGGGGGTGTTGTGGGCGTGGGTTGTGGGGGTGTGCGTGGGTTGGGTTGTGGGGGTGTTGTGGGTGTGGGTTGTAGGGTGTACGGAGGTGTAGGTTTCACACGTGGATCACTGAAGTGGGCTGAGCCGCCGACTCGTATCCATGAGGGCGTGAACGTGGGCTGGTAATCAGCGTTTATGTGGTATAGATGTGATCATGGAGTCACCGTGGGCGGCTCACTATCAGCCCCCGTCCACCCATTCTGCTGCCCGGGAGAATTTATGGGTCAAGAGGGAGAGTGGGGGATTTTGTGGGCGGCATATGGGCGTTGTAGTCCCTTATGGGTGGGCGTATGAGCATGGTATTGGTAATATGACCAATGGGCGGCGTGTGGACGTAATAGTGACCCATGAGCGGCGTGTGGGCGTGATAGTGACCCATGGGCGGTGTGTGAGTGTGATATTGTGTTCCATGGATAGTGTGTGGGCGTAACAGTGACCATGGGCGGGCGGAATGAGTCTAATGATGGTATACCTGTTGTCAGCTTATCATACCTGGCCATACCTGAGCACCCATCACCTGCCTAAATTGGCAACTTACTGAGAGAGACAGAGAGGCAGAGAGAGAGAGAGAGAGAGACAGAGAGAGAAGTACGTAACCTAAGAAACATACAAGTACAAGGAGCTATCCCACTAGACAGACAGATAGACAGTCAGACAGACAGATAGACAGTCAGATAGATACACAGACAGACAGACGGAACAAGTGATCCGTCTTATAGTGTCTTATCTGTGTAAGTGACTGATCAGAAGACGGTCATAAGCTGCGTCAGAGTGAGTCAGTTAAGAGTGAGAGTGAGTCAGTTAAGAGTGATAGTGAGTCAGTCAAGAGTGAGAGTGAGTCAGTCAAGAGTGAGAGTGAGTCAGCCAAGAGTGAGGTGAGTCAGTCAAGAGTGAAAGTGGGTCAGTCAAGGTGAGGTGAGTCAGTCAAGAGTGAGAGTGAGTCAGTCAAGAGTGAAAGTGGGTCAGTCAAGGTGAGAGTGGAGTCAGTCAAGAGTGAGAGTGAGTCAGTCAAAAGGTGAGAGTGAGTCAGTCAGGAGTGAGAGTGAGTCAGTTAGGTGAGAGTGAGTCAGTTAAGAGTGATAGTGAGTCAGTCAAGGTGAAAGTGAGTCAGTCAAGGTGAGAGTGAGTCAGTCAAGGTGAGGTGGTCAGTCAAGGGTGAAGTGGGTCAGAGTGAGGTGTGAGTCAGTTAAGGGTGAGTGAGTCAGTTAAGAGTGATAGTGAGTCAGTCAAGAGTGAAAGTGAGTCAGTCAAGAGTGAGAGTAAGTCAGTTAAGAGTGAGAGTGAGTCAGTTAGAGTGAGAGTGAGTCAGTCAAAGTGAAAGTGAGTCAGTTAAGAGTGAGTGAGTCAGCCAAGAGTGAGAGTGAGTCAGTTAAGAGTGAGAGTGAGTCAGTTAGGTGAAATGAGTCAGTTAAGAGTGAGAGTGAGTCAGTCAAAGTGAGAGTGAGGTCAGTTAGAGGTGAGGTGAGTCAGTCAAGAGTGAGAGTGAGTCAGTCAGAGTGAGAATGAGTCAGTTAAGAGTGAGAGTGAGTCAGCCAAGAGTGAGAGTGAGTCAGTCAAAGTGAGAGTGAGTCAGTTAAGAGTGAGAGTAAGTCAGTTAAGAGTGAGAGTGAGTCAGTTAGGTGAGGTGAGCGGTAGGTGAGTGAGTCAGTCCAAAGAGTGAGGATGAGTCAGTTAAGAGTGAGAGTGAGACAGCCAGAGTGAGAGTGAGTCAGTTAAGGGAGAGTGGGTCAGTTAAGGTGAAGTGAGTCAGTTAAGAGTGAGAGTGAGTCAGTCAAGAGTGAGAGTGGTCAGCCAAGGTGAGTGAGTGAGGTGAGGTGAGTCAGTCAAAGGTGAGAGGAGTGGGTCAGTCAAGGTGAGAGGTGAGTCAGGTCAAGGTGAGAGTGAGTCAGTCAAGAGTGAGAGAGTGGGTCAGTCAGAGGAGAGTAGTCAGTCAGAGTGGTAGTCAGTCAAGGTGAGAGTGAGTCAGTCAAAGGTGAGAGTGAGTCAGTTAGGTGAGTGAGTCAGTTAAGAGTGATAGTGAGTCAGTCAAGAGTGAAAGTGAGTCAGTCAGGTGAGAGTGAGTCAGTCAAGAGTGAGGTGGAGTCAGTCAAGAGTGAAAGTGGGTCAGTCAAGGTGAGAGTGAGTCAGTTAAGGTGAGGTCAGTTAAGAGTGAGAGTGAGTCAGTCAAGAGTGAAGGTGGGTCAGTCAAGAGTGAGAGTAAGATCAGTTAGGTGAGAGTGAGTCAGTTAGGTGAGGAGTAGGTCAGTCAAGAAGTGAAAGTGAGGTCAGTTAGGTGGGTAGGTCAGCCAGGTGAGAGAGAGTCAGTTAAGGTGAGGGTGAGTCAGTTAGGTGAGGAAGTGAGTCAGTTAAGAGTGAGGGTGAGGTCAGTCAAGTGAGAGTGAGTCAGTTAAGAGTGAGAGTGAGTCAGTCAAGTGAGGTGAGTCAGTCAGGTGAGAATGAAGGTCAGTTAGGTGAGGTGAGTCAGCCAGAGTGAGAGTGAGTCAGTCAAAGGTGAGAGTGAGTCAGTTAAGAGTGAGAGTAAGTCAGTTAGGTGAGGTGAGTCAGTTAAGGTGAGGTGAGTCAGTTAGGAGTGAGTGAGTCAGTCAAAGGTGAGGTGAGTCAGTTAGAGTGAGAATTGAGACAGCCAAGGTGGTGATTCAGTTAGGAGTGGTGTGGTGTTAAGAGTGAGGTGAGTCAGTTAGGTGAGAGTGAGTCAGTCAAGGTGAGAGTGAGTCAGTTAAAGTGAGAGTGAGTCAGCCAAGGTGAGAGTGAGTCAGTTAAGGTGAGAGTGAGTCAGTTAAGAGGTGAAGTGGAGTCAGTTAAGAGTAAGGAGTGAGTCAGTCAAAAGTGAGAGTGAGTCAGTTAGAGTGAGAGTGAGTCAGTCAACAGTGAGAGTGAGTCAGTCAAGAATGAGAGTGAGTCAGTTAGAGTGAGAGTGAGTCAGCCAAGGTAGGTGAGGTCAGTTAAGAGTGAGAGTGAGTCAGTCAAAGTAGTGGAGTCAGTTAGGAGTGAGAGTGAGTCAGCCAGGTGAGAGTGGAATCAGTTAAGGGTGAGAGTGAGTCAGTTAAAGTGATAGTGAGTCAGTCAAGAGTGAGAGTGAGTCAGTCAGAGTGAGGAGGTAGTCAGTCAAGAGTGAGAGTGAGTCAGTTAAGAGTGAGAGTTAAGTCAGCTCAAAGTGAGAGTTGAGTCAGTTAAGAGTGAGGTGAGTCAGCCAAGAGTGGTGAGTCAGTCAAAGTGAGAGTGAGTCAGTTAGAGTGAGGAGTAAGTCAGTTAAGAGTGAGAGTGAGTCAGTTAAGAGTGAGAGTGAGTCAGTTAAGAGTGAGAGTGAGTCAGTCAAAAGTGAGGTGAATGAGTCAGCCAGGAGTGAGAGTGAGTCAGTTAAGAGTGGTGGTCAGTTAGGAAGTGAGGTGAGTCAGTTAGGTGAGAGTGAGTCAGTTAAGAGTGAGAGTGAGTCAGTTAAGTGGTGGAGGTCAGTCAAAGTGAGGTGGCGAGGTAGGTCAGCTAAGAGTGAGGTAGGTCAGTTAAGGTGAGAGTGGAGTCAGTTAAGGGTGAGAGTGAGTCAGTTAAGGTGAGAGTGAGTGGTCAAAGTGAGAGTGAGTCAGTCAAAGGTAGTGAGTCAGTTAGGTGGTAAGTCAGTTAAGAGTGAGGTAGGTCAGTTAAGAGGTGAGAGTGAGGTCAGTCAAGTGAGGAAGTGAGTCAGTTAAGAGTGAGGTGAGTCAGTTAAGAGTGAGAGTGAGTCAGTTAAGGTGAGAGTGAGTCAGTCAAGAGTGAGAGTGAGTCAGTTGG